TAGATATATAGTATATATATATATATATATATATTCCTGTTGTGTACCTATAGTGACATGCATATCTATCGCTAAAATGCTTCCTACGTGTGCACAACAATACGTAAATGTTGGTGGCATGCAGTAGTCTCTGTTCGTTGCCATGGCCCTACCATCAGCCGTCTGAGCGTTGTTTCCACAGTTCAGAAGCTCGCTGCTGCGAATGCATTTCGCTGACGGAGTGTGAGGATCACATCCTGCGTTGCCGTGCGACGCGGAATCCGATCTTCCTTCCTCCACGACTAGTACGTCTAATCAAGGAGAAGGAGAGCGGGTTCATGGAGGAGGAGGCAAAGGGCGGAAGCGAAGAGGAAGCGATGGTTGCCCGAAGAGAGGAAGGTCCGGAGGCAAAGGAGAGGCTGAGCCGACGCGCTCGCACGCACGTGCGGAACGGTGTCTTGTCGTTGAAAATATCTGCCATTTATTATAGCTTTCCTCCGTAGAGAGATATTGCGCTCGTCTGTCTGAACGCAGACAAGCCAAACCTCCTTCCTCCTAGCCTTTCCTGGATTGTTGCTGCTAGGCTGGCCCGATAGACTCGTATATACACGCTTTGACACCATGATTAGTCAACTTCTTGAGCAATTCAATACCTACACAACGTATTTTTAGAATGCGCTTCTCAATGCTGATGGCTGATACTGGCTGCTCAATCACTCCAGGCTGCATACTGTCCTGATCAATCACTTCCAAGGCTGACACGCCCACACATCTTACGCATAAAGCCTGGCAACGTTGCTGGACCCCAAAAAGGCCTTATTTGGGGGTATACCGCGCAATTAGCAATCTGCGCCTCACGCACATGCTGTGTTAGTTGTTTGTTGCCTTGTTGTTGTTGTTGTTGTTGTTTGTTGTTGTCCGTCAGTTGTTGTTAGTTTCGGATTAGCATCGTCGCTCTCACGTATCGCGAGGTGATATGTTGCTAGATGTAAGGCGGCGCGTCGATGAGCCTCATCCAGGTCCGGTGGCTCCTTTTGACGCTGCAGAGACCCGCATCGAAGATATCAAACCGACGGTAACTAACTGAAGCAGACTGGCCCGAGAGTGTGGTCGTCTGCAAACACCTAGGCCCACTAGAGCAACCGTCAGGAATATACCACCTGGCACCTAGGGGGGCGGGTGTGCCAACATGTCAGGTAAATAGATCCACCTGGCACCTAGAGCCCAACGTTCAGGCTAAATAGAGCACCTGGGAAGCTAGCAGCCAACTGTCAGCGGTTAATAGAGCACCTGGCGAAAGCCCTAGAGCCAATTGCTCAGGTTAATAGAGCACCTCGGCGCAAAGCCCTAGAGGCCAACTGTCAGTAATATAACCATCTAAGCAACTAGCAGCCAAACTGGTCAGGTAAAGTATACACTGGCCACCTTAGAGCCAAACTGCTCAGGTAAATAGAGCACCTGCGAACTTAGAGCCACACTGTCAGCGTATAAATAGAGCACCTGTCACCTGAGAGCCAACTGCTCAGTTAATAGAGCACCTGTCACTAGAGCCAACTGTCAGGTTAATAGAGCACCTGTCACCTAGAAGCCAACTGTCAGGTTAATAGAGCACCTGGGAAGCTAGAGCCAACCGTCAGGTAAAACATACACCTGACGCCTAGATGTGCTGTGCGCATTGGATGAATATCGAGTTTCCTTCCTCTCCTCTCTCCTCTCCTATCCTCCTCTCTCTCCTCTCTCCTCTCACCTCCCTCACCTCTCTCCACCTCTCACCCTCTCACCTCTGCTGCTGCGTTACAGGATCATGTCGTGGGGCCGGTAAGCGGGCATACGACCGCATACGCGAGTCGATACTATCCTGACAGAAGCTGGGATCTCGCTCACGCCCCCCCGCGCACGGACGATGCCCAAGTGGTGCAGCCGGCTTTCAATGGATCCCATAGACAAGGTTGCCGTGACATCGACGATGGAACGCGGACGGCGTCTTATTGTCGTTACCGCAGCACATCTCATGTCCTAGTTACTCTTCCTTGTTATTTTCTTCTTGTTCAGCTCGTTCACTCCTCATCCTTGCTACTGATAATGAGCAATATCGCCCCTGTGTAACCAGCGAGGCTGATAGAAACTTCATTAGATTAATGAATTAATATGAATAAATACTGAGCGTTCCATGTTTTTTCTGCTGCCTACACAGGCGCTGATTCCCGCTCCTGCTGTCGCCTGTCTGACAATATAATAACTTCTCATGTCGCTGCAAAGTGATCTGCTAGTCAGGCCGCCGACCGTCTTTTCAAAAAACGCGAATTCAGAGTACTCATACATGTAGCTCTTGTATATTCACACTTTTTCTATAGACCGTTCACAGAAGCCTCGCTAAAGTCATGAGCTTTTTACATGCGTGCTATAGACGGTCGCGTTTACGAATAAAGATTAATGTCTATTATCTGCCTATAGGGTCTATGGTCCCTCAGGTTACTGCCGGGAACGTACCCTGTCACTATCTAATTGCGCCGGACCGTACCTCGATCCTCTCACTAACGAGTCTAGCGAGTCGACTACGCCTACTCCTCCCTAACCCTAACCCTAACGCTTAACCCTAACCATTATCAGATAGTTACCCAGGGTACGTTCCGGTATACCGGACCTAACCCAGGGTACGTTCCGGCAGTACCCTGGGGGACATAGACCCTATGAGCTTAAGTAGTAGTAGTAGTAAGAAATGTTAAGACTAATTTTGTTTCTGACAGCATGACCCCCTGTGTACATTCTATCGCTCTAGATATGTAAACTAAGCGAAGGCCACGGATCATGCGATCGCTCAACACTGTGTGTGTGTTCCTCCCTGCGCAGGTTCTCTCTGTGATATTCACACAACTCATCATCTACATACGGGAGGAGAGGCAGCCGGAGAAACAGGAGGGCAGTCAGAACTGAGAGCGGAGAGGAGACAGCAAGAGAAGAGGAGACAGCAAGAGAAGAGGAGACAGCAAGAGGAGGCATCGTGAGAGAACATGGGAAGACTCGGAAGATGGAGAGTCGTGAACCTGTGTCGCCCCCGCGATGGCATAGGGGGCGCTGACGATCGCATCACGCGTAGCCAGTGACGACGATGACGACGTTGTGAGTATTCGAGAATACACTTTCAATGAGGTGCAGCTAAAACGTGGTGAGTTTGGCAGCTTTGAATCAGAAACGGGGCGCTAGATGGCGGCACATGTGCTGCGGTGAGTTTGGCAGCTTTGAGTAGAGTATCAACATGTACACTGTCAACGTCATTCCTTATAGTGAGTGTTAGGCCAAAGGGCTTTCTTCCTAAAATAATCAGAAGGAAGTTTGTACGTCTGCGCGGTGCAGTGTAGAGATGATAAGAGTGAAATCAAATCGTTTAGCATTTTTAATGAGGGTGCGTAATTTTAGTGTGTGTATCAGGGTAGGAGCAAGCCAAAGAGCTAAAACAGCTAATTATTATTAAATTTTAAATTTAATTATCATACAGAGAAAGAAGTCAACATATATATATATATTAATGTTTCTTTAGTTGTGATGTAACTTAATACGTTATTAATACGTTATTTATGTTGCTGGGTGCATAGGTCCTGGGTGCTATAAGCAAAGCTGTATTGAGCAGAAAATATCATCTATGTGTGTTTATGCAATAGTGAAAATTATTTATTCTATCCTAAGCTACAATACCATATGCAATAAGCTTCATTCTGCACCAGTGACTAGGGTATAAAGTAGTCATCAATATTGTGATATTATGTATTTCTGAGTTTTATCAAAATAGCCATGATATATTGCCATTTATGTACTTTACCAAGCTTGTAACTTTTACAATGCAAATTTTAACGTAACTAGGCTCATACTATAGTTGGATGGGTGTGACATTACACTGTAGTGATGGTGATGGTACAGCTACGCATGTTGTAATAGGAAAGGCTATGAAGCCATTTCCAAATAAAAGTAGCTTAGCTTGATGTGTTCGTGAGCATGTGGGGGTGAATACCTGGGTGTGTGCACGCGTGCGTGTATGTGTGTGCACGCGTGCGTGTATGTGGGTGATTGTGTGCGTGTATGTGTGTGCACGCGTGCGTGTATGTGTGTGCACGCGTGCGTGTATGTGTGTGCAC